GACAGAGGAGCCAAAGATGGAGGAGTACAACAAGGAAAAGACAAAGACAGAGGAGGCAAAGATAGAAGAGTACAACAAGGAAATAACAAAGACAGAGGAGCCAAAGATGGAGGAGGCTGATGTTGGAAAAGATTTTTACTCTGCTGTTAGTGAAGTTAACCAGGGGACTGTTATAAAAACTGAGGAGGAGAGGAAAGAACAACAGCTTTCTGCAGTGACACAGGAGACAGCTGAAAGAGAGGCCCCAGAAGATTTGCCTCAGGAGCCTAAAGCAGTAGAGGAACAGATGGAGCATCAACAAGTACAACATGAGGTGAAAACCGAGCAGATGGAGCCTGCCGAGCCTCCTGAGCCTGGCACAGGAAAACCACCTGAAACACACCAGTTGGACACTCAGCTAGAGGAAACCCATGAGAGCAAGGAGAAACAGAGAGGAGATGAAAGCAGTTTTGAACAGAACGCCACAGACACATCGGAGGCTGATAAAATGCCTGAAGTGCTTGTAATGAGTACAGAAGAGGCAGCTTTGATAGTACCTGTGAGCAACGAGGCGCCTGGGGAAAACACTGAGCGGATTTTATCTGAAGAAGCAGCTAATGATTCACAGATTTTGGCGGCTGATGACAAAGTACTCACCGAGGCTGATGCAAAAGCTTCATCTAAAGTGGAGGAACCTGAGACTGCATTGCACAGCTTGTCTGAGGCCCGAACTGAAGTGAGGACAGCAGAAGAGGAACCTCAGTGTGAGGCAATAAAAGCAGCCCCGGAAGATGCCCCGTCTGTTGAGGTCGTCCCTGACTGTGAAATGCAAACAGTGGTAGAGGTGACTGAAAAAGCAGTGAGTGACGTAGAGATCCAAACCCAAGTTAAGATCGATCTTCAGGAGGTAACGTGTGTGGAGGCGACAGCAGATCCTGAGAGAGGACAAGACTACCAGCCTCTGAGGGAGGAAACTGAGGAGGCCGTGATGCCGTTGCGCCCTGCAGAAGCTGCAGACGCCGATCAGGAGTCAGAGGTAAAAACCGAGATCGAACCTGCCACGCCAGAAAAAGTTCAACCCGAATCACAAATCCCCGAAGCGGAGAAGCAGCAGCGAGAGCTGACCGACTGCGAGTCAGAAAAACCTGAGAAGGCCCCAGAGGACCTCTCTAAGCCGCCTCCTGAGGATGCTGGGGCAGCTTCTAAGGACACAGTGACTGTAGGTGATGAGCTCATTCTCCTTGTTCCCAAAGGACAGGCAATAGAGATGGACATAGAGATTGGAGAGAAATCTGAAAAGACTCAAAAAGAAGCAACTGCTGTCCCTGAACCTGACAGCACACGAGAACTTCAGGTACCTGAGTCTGAAGTTCTTATAAAGGAGGTAGAACCAATCTTAAATTATGTGAGCACTGAGCAGCCCCCGTCTGCTCATGTGGAAGAGGCTGGCGCTGAGGCAGAGGAGATGGTGCTGGAATTGGACGACGAAAAAGCCGTCTTATCTACCCTGAGGAGCTTTACTCCACAGGAGGATTTATCGTGTCTGCACAAAGATGAGGTTCAATCAGAAGATGTAGATGTAGAACAAAAGAAACTCATGCATGAAATTGAAAATATACCAGAAGAAAAGGTTTTTGAAGAGGATGGAGTTCCATACATTGATCAACGCAGTGAAGACGTGGAGCAGAATAAGAAGCAAGATGAGGAAGTGTTGGAGGCTCCGGGGGAGCCCATTCATGAGCTTGGTTATGAAGTGATTTCTGAGCGAGACGCAGAAGATATGCCAGAAATGGAAGCTCAGAAAAATGCAAAGGAGTCTAATCAGAAACAGGGTGAGACAATTGAGATGGAGATAGAGAAAGGGAAGGACCAAAAGATAGATTTTTTTGCAGAAGAAGAACCCATTGAAGAAGATTATGAAATCATTGATGCGGAGGAGGAGAGGGAAGCCCGACTGGCAGCCGAGCTGCAGGGCATGGACTGGTTCTGTGTGACCTGTGGATGTCTGCTGTCAGAAGAGAGCAGGTCTCAGGAACATCAGAGCCATGAGGTGAATTCTGTGGACAAAGCCTATGAAGGAATCAAGGTAAGCAATGTGGAAAAATATGGGACTTTCCATCAGGTAATTTGGAAACCGGGGTATAACGCAGACAGAATATGTTAAGTTTATAGATAATGATATGATGTAGTGTGATGCGGCTGGAATCAGTTCTTTATAATCTCTCAAATGTTGGATATACACGCCGCAACCAAGTTGCTGCCTTTTTGTCGTACAATTCATCAGCTGCACGCTTACTACACAATTTCATCAGTGTGTGTTTGGATCATCAAACCATAACCTGATCTTAATTTAGCCAGCAGCAACTTTTCCATTCACCACGTCAGTGCTCCCATGCTGGCAGGCCCCAGAAAACACATTGACTTGCTGTGATGCAAAGCTCTGCTTTGATCAGTGAAAAGGTTCAGTGTGACATCAAACAGAGCCTGAAATGTGATCTGTCACGCACTTTTATCCCTCTCTGTTCTTTCTGATACCGAACGGCCAGCAACCTGCTTTGAGAAGAAAAAAAAAAGTTAGCAAAATTTCTTTATACATCAGTATGCTGATGTTTGCCAGCTTTGTTTTGATAAAACAGATGGTTAAAAAGGTCTTTCTCTGATGTCTGCCTTTTGGCTTTGGTCTGTTAGGATGTACAGTAACAGGAGCTAAATGGAATAATTTGTTTAAGTGGGGAAACTTGGTCAAGCCTCTTGGCTTTTAAAATTAAAGAAATCTGGGACAACGGATATCAAAAGTTAAAAAAAGCAGATTATATTGACACAAGTCTTATAGGATATTGACTATGGATAAGAAAAAGAGATAGGGAAGATCATTTGCAGGTCTGATGTCAGTTCAAAGAATAAAAAATTATTCAAAAGATCCACAGAGCAGGAGACTGCTCCCCACAAAGTCACTTAAGATCTTTCGTCTCAACCCCCTCTGTGCAATGGACTTCCATATTTCCTTGCAGGGTCTGCGTAAGTGCTCACACATTTCTGTGTCACACATGAACACACCTGTTTTTACTCTTACTGGAAAAATGGTCAGAGAGCGATCGTAACCACTGCTTGACCTCATTAAATGTGAGCTGCCTACACTCGGGTGGTGAGAGGGGATTGCCACAGCTCCCACCAGCTCTGACAGACAGCCTTTTGATGAAAGATTAACCTGTACAATCTGAAAATGTAATACTCAGAGGTGAAATTGAATAAATCATCAGAGAAGCTGAATAAATTATCCAAGAACAAATAAACTCTGCATAGATTTAGACTAACTTACACCCATGAATGTGTTTTCTTTACTCTTTTATCGACCACGTTGACACACTGAATGCAAAAAGACAGAGAATACATTTTTTATTGTTAAGCAGCTTTAAGAATCACATTTGTGTAACTATATTAAAACATTTTCATGTAGTTTGGCTGTCAGAGGATCTGCTGGTGACATTGTTCTGCCTCTTCTTTCATGTGTGACAGGAGACACTGGGTGTCTGGATCTCCGAGCTTCAGGAGAGATCAGAAAACATCGAGGACTTGGTGTCTGAGCTGGAGCTGGCCTACAATTCTGTAGAGGTGCGCAATGTCAACACATACTGTAGTTGAGCATAGCGTTGACATCACAGCCACAGGCTACGTAAAGAAAGTCTGGGAAATGATAATCCCCTTTTGGCTGTGGCCGTCCTCTTGCTCAGGACCAGTTCGCCCAGAGTGAAGCTGCTATGCGGGCGCAGAACGAGGAGATGATGGCTCTGGTGATGGAGCAGTACAACAAGATGTCCGTCAGCATGGAGGAGGAGAAGAAAGCCAAGCTGGAGCAGCTCTACGACAAAATTGTCTCCTTCCAGGAGAACATTGAGTCTGCCAAGACCACCCTGGAGACCGCAGCCAGAGAGACTGAAACCGATGCCAGAGTGAGTCCAGGGCGCTGGTCTGCCAGGGGTGCTCTTTCTGTCTAATAATTGTTGATCAAGAATTTATTCAAATATGTGATCCAATTTTCCTATTCTGCTCTTTCCACAGCCACATGAAGACATCCATGCAAGGTATTTCACTTGTATTAACAATTACAGCATGATGTTTAGCCTGTTGAACTACAACCTGCAGAGCCAAGTGAAACAAGAGCTAATTCACAGGACTTTTGATTTAGCCATTCAATATTTTTTAATGAATATAAGCTTTGAAGGATAAATGAATAATGGAAGATCACTGAGTTCTTTCCAACCATTAATTACTGTGTAAATATGACGCCAGGTTTGCGAAAAACATGACATATTACACTGTAATGTTCTATCAGTTGATTGAGATTTGTACGCAATAAATCGCACACAGACTTTTTTTCATACATTTGTGCTCTAGGTCCTGTTGCATGACACAGAATCAGCTTTTTTCACATTTCCGGAGAATCATTTGTGTGTCCTCAACTGAACTTGTGTTGAACTAGAACAACTTCCAGATCTGATGATATACCAGCTGATGTTTTATCGTGTCAAACACTGGAACTAAAAAAAATAATCTTTGATAGTAAATTAGTCTTTTGATGTTGACTTGGCTGTGACAAAAAGTCAAATATTGTATTTGTGTGATCAGACTGAAAGCAGCTCTAGATTCGGTCTTGTTTCTGGAGCTGGGCCCCAAAGGACTCCTGGTGTTCGAGGACTACGCGAAGCCCAACACCTCCGGATCCAACCTTGAACAGCGCAAAGGAATAGCCGGTAGGCTTTTCTTAGCAGGCCGTACAGATTCCTCTCCAGCTGTAAGGATCATGTGCGATGGACACATATCTTACTGGTGATTGCTCCAGTTCCCCAGAGGCCCACGCTGCAGCCCCAGGAGCCGGGCTCAGCCACCAGCACCAGCGTCACCGTCTACTGGAGAGTCAACCCCGGAGATATCATAGACTGCTTTCAGGTCTACTGCATGGGGGATCCGCAAGGAGGTGAGTAAAGAATTTAGATTACGATTGGTGGCAAAAGCTGTAATCATCTCCACCGTGCTCATTGACCAGAATTATTTCTGAAGCGAAGACGAATATTCTGATAAACTGAATATTTCTTTCCCAGCTGTGTCCGAGGAGTACCGTGTGACAGTGAAGGAGAGTTACTGCGTCCTGGAAGAACTGGAGCCTGACAAAATGTACAAGGTGTGGGTGATGGCTGTCAACTACACCGGCTGCTCTCTGCCCAGTGAGAGACTTGTCTTCAGAACAGGTCAGTCCATGCAGGGAAAGTAAAGCTTCCACATATCTCTGGATAATAGATCGAATAGAAAGAATTTTTTGGGGGATTTCGGTATGCAAATCTGCATATCGTTGTGTTGTCTTGTAGCTCCATCAGTTCCAGTGATCGACACAGAGCGCTGCACTGTTCTGTGGGATGCGGCCATGCTGAGGTGGATCCCAACAAAACACACTCCAGGACAAAGTTACACCCTGGAGTACTGCCGCCAATATGAGCTAGAAGGAGAAGGTCTGAGGTGGGCGTTTTCCTGGATAGCAGACAGGAAGAAAAGTGTTCAGTCACTGACCATTGTCGAAAAGCCAAACTCGAAATGAATACTGAATAAATTGAATATGTCACGGGCTGGAATATTTTCGCACAAACATTTCTTTATGCCGCTTGTGTGTGTCACACTTTCAGATCGGTCTCAGGAATCACGGACTGTGAGCAGAGAGTTCTCCTGCAACCCAATGAGAACTACCTGTTCTACATCAAAGCCGTGAATGAGGCCGGTGCCAGCGAACAAAGCGAGGCGGCGCTCATTTCTACGAAAGGTTAAAGGAACGCACTGTGGCTCCGACTGGCTCAAAAGCACCCAGGCTTGATCATCACGTTGTTTGTCTTCTTTCTGTTTCCAGGGACGAAGTTCCATCTGCTGAAGACCTCAGCTCATCCCGCTCTGGAGCTTTCGGAGGACCAGAACCTCCTGCACTGTTCCCCCGAGGCTTACGAATCCACCACGAGCTCAGACAAAGTGTGAGTTCAACTCCGAAACACCTCCGTTTGAAGCCCGGTTTGAGCAGATTTACCACGGCTTGTGTTGTTTTCTAGGTGTCCGTCCATCCTGGGTGAGCTGCTGCCAGCCAGGGGTCTCTACTACTGGGAAACTGTCGTGTCTGGAAGTGCGGCCTACAGGCTCGGAGTAGCTTCCAGCACAGCCAATAGGAACAGTCCACTTGGGGAAAATAGCTCTTCGTGGTGTCTGCAGTGTACACCCACAGCATCAGGGTATGCATTAGAAAATTCCCCCCCATCTTCCAGTTTTCTGAGTTGCTCTTGTTGTTATCTGGAACAACAGTCACCACTCTGTGTGCTTTTGGTGTGTCCAGCTGCAGGTACCAGTTGCTCCACAGTGACATGCAGTCCGTCGTGTGTGTGACCGAGACACCGGAGCGAGTGGGCACCCTCTTGAATTATCAGACGGGACGTCTGTCTTTCTACAATGCCCAAAGCGGTCAGTTGTTGGGTGCCTTCGGCGGGGGCCTGAGGCTGCCCGGCCACCCGGCCCTGGTCCTGGAGCAGCCGGGCAGCCTGCAGCTGTGTCTGGTGCCGGAGGTGCCGGAGTTTACCAGGGACAGCTAGCCCCGCCGCACGCCCCACCGCCCGAAGAGTTTACAGATCACGATGGACGTTTGTTGATCTGACCGATCTTTCCTCATGCTCATCACAATGACCACTGCTGCCTTATTTATGGATTTGTATTATTGTTGGTAAAAAGGAATGTATTCGGGGTTCGATTTTGCATCAGCTTGCTTTGTTTAGAGAAATATAGAATAAATTGAATGTGTTATTTTTGATAAAGAGAAAAAAGGATGTAAATATAAAAAAAAATCAAAAGTTAGAATGAACATACTAAACATTAGGGCCTGGAAATGGTGATTAGCTTGGTATATTTTCTTCCTGAAATGAAACGTGGATTATTTTGTCATTTTGAACATAAAGTGTGTTGATGAGGGATCTTCTTTTTTTTTTTTTTATCATTTTGTAAATATTGTCCTATCTAATCTAGGTGTTGATGGAAAGAACATACTAAAGGCACACATCACACGTATAATTGTTCAGCAGTATTAGTTTTAGTCTATTGTTATCTCAAAGTTTAGATGGTGAGCTTCTATCTCCAAACAAACATTTTAGCACCTTTCAAACTGTGTTTCATAAAGTGAATGGGCCTGATTTGGTGTAAATAACCTTTTAAAGAGATGTGATATGCTCTCTTTACTTTTGTGCTACAGGTGGTTTGTTTGTTTGTGTCTTCTTCTTATTTTTCACAAATGTTTTTTTTTAAATATTCTTTTTGCACAAATAGACTGATTTGTTAGAACCTTTTATCTAAAATATATTAATTCACCACCAGAGGGCCTCAGCACTTCATCAGCTGGAATTCTTGCTGTGAAGTCTGTCCACTCAGAGTAGCTTTTGAATTTTACCTGTGCAGAGATAGACATCATAACCAGACTTGAATTTACTCAAAACCACCCAACTGCTAAGTTAAACCAGACTCCAACACATTTCCATAAAGGTTTTTTTAAGCCCTTGAGCACTTCTATTTATCCTAGACATAATAAATCTCCTGCTATATAATGTGTTCATTTACTTTGTTATCAATGTGTAAACAAATGTACAAACTTTCATGTTTACATACTCTGTCCATGTAAAAAAATAAAATAATAATAAACACATCCATTCAGATTTCCAAAATCCTTTTCCAGCCAAAATGTTTTTATGATCCGCCCTCTGCCATCGTCTAAACTTCATACTTTCCCAGAGGACATGCCATTCACTGTTATAACTGAATTATTTTCCAGTCAGTCACATCTTTTCGCGGTAAAAAAGGAGGAGAGGCTGAGTGTGAGACAGGAGAGGGCACACACATGAAAGCCATCAGGGAGCGCCTGCTGGTCTCCATGTGACGCGTCTGACTGCTCCGTTTGTGGCCTGAAGCAAAGCTCCAACTCTGCCCTCCGTTTCTGTGAGCGCACGTGTTGGAAGGACTTCCAAGCAGAAGTCAGGGGGAGGATTTGTGGTGCTAAAGGGGATAGCGAGACAGTACAGCGGCCCTGTTTTTCTATTCTAAACACCTCAGTATTTGGCTGGGCAACTTCCTCACATTGGACAAACACATTTTTCAAACAGCATGTCCCACACACCCACGTTTGTCTGAGATCTACTCCATACAAGTGTGACGATGAACGAGCTACTTCTCACTTATTAAGCAGGTGGTGAAGGGAAGTCTAAGCAGGAGTCTCTTTCACATGTCTAACAACTTGGACGATATCTGATGTCAAGTATGCAACGCTTCTTCTCACATTACTCTAATTCTTTCCATGTCTGAGGCCAAAAACCAGACAAAGCGCTCTCTTTATTCCCAACATCCAAACAAATGGTCCCACTATCAGAGGTGCAGCCGGCGAGCGTGAAATCTTCTCCAAGTGTTACGGGAAAGGCAGGTCACTCTCAAGTATGTCTTGCTGTAAGGGCTGGGAAGGATCAACACCATGTGGAAATGTCATTAGAAGTGCATTTTTCGGGGAAAAAATGCTGAGGAAAATGACGGTTAGCCATCTCTTTTATTATGACATTTGCCTTTGAACAATGTTAAAACAGTTTTTACCAATAGTCAACAATTATGAGCAAAAGAGATAAAGGAAATGTATGACAGTTATCAAAGCTCTGAAGGATAAAGTTAGCATATGACACGTGTTAAAAGACACCAGCAGTCACAAAGGCACACTGCACCCATTTGTTAACAACAAGCTGCACATGTATCCATATGAACACATTTTCAAAAGATGGTGCTTTAAAGGGAATGTTTCCATTAAATGAGTTTGAGAGTCAAAATACATTTGATCTGAGGAAGGAAAATTGTGAAAAGAATCACGAGGAATTGATGAAGCTCACTGAGGCGCTGTGAGCTATGAGGACACATGGGAGAGTTTCATTAATCAGACTGGAAGAAGAACCAAAAGACAGGTTTTGAAAGTCACAAATGAACAGGCACAGCAAATAATACAAAACACAACAGGGGACTCCAAAAGAAACAAATGATGTGCAAAAGTGGTTGTGGAAAAAAATATATAAAGGCAACGACGAAAGTGATTAGACTGTTACAAATGCCACAATTGACAATCAAAAGTCACTGGTTTCTGATAGTCCTTAGGACAACCCACTCACTCTCTCACACACACACACTCACACACATAAATTAGTCCCAAATACTGTGCATGGGCAACTTAATACATGACGTATGATCCATCCTTCAACTCAGTGTTTGATTTTGAGTTAGCTCATCTGCTGTATTCAGAGGACATCACAAGGAATTTAAATAGATAACATTATTTACAACTTTACAATTTATACACAACGGTGGAGTTGAAAGCAAAAACAGATTTAAACTGGACACTACACGGGGCCTGACTGCATATATTTGAAATAACTTGGACTGGAAAAAAGAGTAAGTGCTAAATCTTAAAACCATTAGATACTCAATTGTTAGAAACACAACTGTGGACTTAAGGAGTACATTTTGCCATGTGACACTGCGGTCTCGTCAACACAGTATTTATGCAATTCTTAATCAGCTGCAGAGTGACACCTCATGAAAACAGCTCAAACAGAAAATATATATACCTTTCATGAAACAAAACAATTAAAACGTTCACTAAATGACGTTTTAAGAAGAAAAAAAAACCCTAGTAGCCTATTCCGAGGTTAAACTGTAGCACTTATGTTCCCTGCTGGACTCCTCATTTCCTTCGTCGTCCCTTTGAACTTTCTGTGTCTGTCTCATATAGGACCACTTCACAGCATTCCATTCGTGGCCACATACATGCACTCCTCTTTTATAAATGCATTACACATGCGCTTTTACTTCCCTTCCGTACTTCTTAGAAATATATCATCATTGTCATAAAATAGTCTTGTGTAATTATATAGTCACATTCCCATTAATAATTAAGTTATTTTCCATTCAAGTCATTGTCCAGTATTACCAGCTTCATTTTTTTCCCAGGATGTTGAGTCAGATTTTGAGAGCAAGCGTTCATGATTGATTCATAAGGCGGTTTGTGAGTTTATTGGTCGTTAGGCGGGGGTAGATCTCTTTGCACTGGACGGACTGGGTTTGGGCTCCAGCCTGTGGGGTTTGTGCTGTGGGCTGCTGCGGAGGTTGTCATCCATCTAGGGGGAGAGGTGTATATTTTAGCAAGCTCCAAATGGTGAAAACAAGCAGGAAGAGCTGAAGAGTAAGAGACTCTACAAACTACTGTGAGAGCAGTGATGGTACCTGCAGAAAGCAACCATGAACCCATGCAAAAGAAGAGAAAAGGAAAGCAGGAGCACCTTTTCTATCAAGTTGGACTCTTTGTTTACAAGCTGTGTTAGTTTCTGGAGGTTCGCATCCATTGTGTCCTGAACAGGTGGGGGAGGACCTGGAGAGAAATTAGGCAAAGATGTACCAAGAGAAGAGGGAAAATGGCGGACAGTGAAGTCCGAGCAATGTAAGGTTAGCCAACACCGAAAAGTGAAGCCCATGAAACCAACGCGTGTTAAACGGAGAGTATGATGTTAGTTGTTGTGTCTCACAGGTGAACGTTTTTCTGCTTTGGGCAGAGTTCTTACACAAGTGATCCGAATTAAAGTAGACTTGCAGAATGTTGTCGCAGAAGCGCGTGAGGTTATCAAGCAGTCTGAGGTGGCTCTGCAGAGAGCCGCTGGGCAGACTGGCTTTGTACAGAGGGGCCACAAAGCCAAACACAAAGGCATCCAGACTGGTTGGCCTGTGATCACAAACAGTGAGCCAAATTAGATCCAGACACATATAAACACAACTGATTGTCAAAATTGTCAGGTTTTCCATGTATCATGTTTTTTAACAGCTCTGAATGTGAGCCGAGTAAACAATCCTTTAAATAAACATGTCAATAAACACTGCAGAACTCACAAGTTGCCAAAGAAGTAGTCTGCAGTTCCCAGTCTGTAGGAGAGGAGATTCAGGCACTCTTTAGCATCACTGTAGATCTGAGGCAGAGGGAAAGGTCTTAACGGCAGTGAAAGAGGGACCACAGAGATGAAATGATGAAGGAGTTAATAGAGCACATAAGCATTTACCCTTCCTTCTACTTCAGAAATTCTATGTAATGGCGCCTCTCCCTTGGTTAAAAGGATGCGGGAGAGAGCAATGTTGGCATGGCGACTTGGGACAATGAAGTTGAGGGGGAACGGGGAGCGTGAAGCGAACCATGGCCGCGTCAGATTGATGTAGTTCTCTGCATCCACCCAGAACGTGTGCAGCTGTGGGACCCCACCATAAACTCCCATGAATAACCAATAACGCCACAAGTGATCGTTTTTCACAAAGAGAGCAGAGGTCTGACACGGTTACCAGAGCCGGTCGAAGTTTCTCCTCCAGCAGAGCGATGTAGGCCATCGTGTCAGCTCCTTGTCTGGCTGTCAACTCATAGTCTGCATTAAACCTCTGCAAAAAGACACACAAAACTGTACATCTAGAGGTTTTAACCTGCATGGTTTCAGGGCAGATGTGGAGCAAGCAGACCCTCACCTGCTTCCTCATGAAGTTGAGAATCTGTGTTGGTTGCTGGACTGCAGAATCCCCACAAAGCAGCTCTGGGACACTTGCTGTGGACAGATGTGGCATAAAATCTTCAAACCTTCTATTCTATCCTAGCTATATCTCTGTGGTTTGTATTGCGTAATGCTACAGACAGAGAGACATAAACACAACCTGGGTCTCCCGGGGAAAGTTTGCCACAGTAAAACACACACAGAGACAGACTCACAAGGTGAAAACAAAACAAACTATGTCATTGTGGCTGGTAAATATTTTCCAGTCATTTATAGCCTTGTTCTCTGTTTATATGTAGTCAAGAATAGTTTCTACATGGGTCAGAAACGTCTCCTCCTCCGATATCTCAACCAAAACCTTGTAAAATTTAAAAAGCTGTCGCCCACCTGTAATAGTTTTCCATGTCCAGTCAACTGGAGAGACTGTAATGTTTGCCCCGGAAAACTTGGCATAAGCCTGGAGAGGAAAAATAAATAAAAAACAGTCAGGAAAGATGGCAACATAACAACTCAGACGCAACATGTTTAGTAAAGTTATACTGGATACTCTGTTCCAAATGCTAAAGATGTGCAGCGAGGGTGTACTTCTAGAATTGTTCTATCCCCAAGTAACCTAATCAAGCCAAGATATTTCAATCTGGCCACGTAGCTAAATGGTTGTTGCATTCAAAGCACTATCACCAGGAATCTGGAGCTTTGGGTTACAAACATTTTAACACAGTGTTATCACAAGGGGAAATGACAACAAACTCACATCTAACAAGAAGAAAAGGACTAGGTCTGGGACTGATTATATTTACCCCTAATGGAAATTGACACATAAACAAAGGGATTAGAATGAGGAGCTTCTGCTGTCAAAAATTTAATGTTTTTAAGTTTAACCAACACAGACCAGACTCTAAATGACACCTCGTGGCTACAATTATTACTACATGTATTGACTGTGAGACAACATGTTTTACAGCAGGAAAACAATCCCACTGTTGATATTCCGTCAGGGCCGTCAGGTCGACCACAGCTCAGAGCAAACCCACGAAGAAGAAAGATACAAATCACCCCAAAATAACATGTTAGAGAGGGGGCGACTTGCTGACCTTGAAGGAACACTGCTGTTAGGGATGAAGTAGTTTTTTACAGGCTGCTACACACGAGGAGCGAATCTTTGCAATAAGCACTGCCATTTTTCTAAAGCTGCGACACGAAATTCAGCTGGGAATACCTATTCGTGTCCTGCTCACGGACGCTCCTAACTTACCAGCAAAGTACCGCAGCAGTGTTAGCATGGAGGCTAACATGTGAGACAAGAAAAACAAAACAAAGATAACTGGAAAGGTACCATGGGTTGTTAAAGCCGGTTCTGGAAGGAGTTGCTGTATTCTTTCCAAAAAGGTGACTGTCTTACCAGAATTATGAGGGACTCGGTGTGAACAGAGGGCAGACCCCAGTCTCCTCCCCAGCATCTTAGCTCCATGGCAGCCGCCATGATTTGATTCATACGGCGAGCCCGGGCTGTCACGTGATACCTGTCATAGCAGAGCCTAAAGAGCGCGAGGGTGGCGGGGACAATTGAAAACAGTAAGATTTCTTTTTTCTTTACTGTGGAAATTCGTTATTTAAAAAAAATGCCTGTCCTGGCTTTTCTCTGTAGTTAAATAGTTTTTCACCATAAAAACACGTTGCTGTGTCACTTTAGGTCCGATAATCATGATGGAAAATGCTCACTTTGTAGTGAAGGAAGAGATGCTCAGATGATGCTAAATAACTTTGATTTAGAGCTGATTATTTGTCATTCATTTGAAACATACTGTACATAAAGTACAAGACTAATATTTAGTGTGTTTCATGTAGTCAAACAGTAATTACTTGTTACTTATTTTGCAAAAAATCCTTGGAAAATTAGTAATAACCAAATAATGAGATTGATGTTTTATCTTGGGCTGTGGTTATGTGCTCAGGCCAAAATCAGCTTTATAAAAAGGCTTTTTTTGGTCACACTCAACAGTCAGTGACCCATTTTAAATGGTACAGAAAGTCATTGAACAATGTTGCAGAATTGTTTCATGTTTTGATTTCGTATCATTAACCGTTGTCTAACTTTATGCCAGCATGGCATAATGTCTGTAACGGAGCTGATAGCTTGTTGAAGGCTTCCAGGTGTTTGTTCAGATGCCAGACTGCCAGACTCAGCCAAATGTACAAAGGAACTGCACTGAGGGATGGTAAATGTCTGCATTTGGCTCAGACCTGCATCCAAGCTGCTGAAATATACTTAAGGTTTACCAGAGAAAGCTTTAAGACAAGTACCAGACGTCTTCCAATAAATGTTTCCAGGACTGAAAATGCCCCTACTCTCGCCCTTTTAGTCCTTCCTTTTCCATCTCTTTTTCTTCTTTCTTTCTTTTTTTTTTGTGGGGGGGGGGGGTAATGCAGTGGCCTGTAGAAAAAGTTAACTTAAATCATACTGAGATTGAAAACATATGCTGGAGCTTTATACAGATCAACTGATTATTAATGATTAGCATGGGAGATCAGATCCACATTTTTGACACAAGTTCTCATGTGAAAAAAATCAATGGCCAGCTGCATATTCTGGATCATTTTAGGTATTATTTTCCAGTTGGCTTGATATAGAGTGCTCTCCTGTTATTTTATCCCAAGTCACAAAAAGATAAGGTAAACTTAACATGATAAATTAGGTTTTTATCTTAACATATGTAGATAATGTGTCGACTAATGAATACAAACTTCCATTTAGCTCTGTTTAGAAAAATGTCTGACCTTTTTAAAAAAAAGTCTTAAAAAATATATATATCATTGAAACAGTGAGATCAGGTGATAGGACAGAGTAGCAACTCCCCCAAACTGCTGAAATAAAGTAATCACTCACTGTTGTGCCACCACCGACCGAGGACCCTCCCCTCTGCTTTAAAAGCTGTGCCCGTCCACACAGAACCAGCTCACCTCTGCTGGGTTTGGCTTAATCATCATCACTCGGTTGGAGTTAGGTGTGGGATTGATCTACAGGAGGAGAGCTCTTTACCAAAAACAGAAAAAAAAACAGGCTTCTCTTGAGGTGTGTCCTTGTCCGAGGTCCTTATGAGGGCTCTGTGCGTTGGAGCGGCAGCTCTGTCTCTGGTGCTGCTGCAGCTGGCGCTCACTGTCACAGCTCAGGGGGTTGGTGAGTACTGGCTCCTCACGAGCCATCATTTCAAGGGACAATAAAAATGGGATGTTTCTGTGTGTCTAAATGCTTCAATTTAGCTTTTTGTTTTGATGCGTACGTAGTAATATTCTGTTTCCATGCACACCACAGATAAATGGACAGCATTGTTGATGATTATTGGCATCAGGTTGGCTTTCCTCTGGCTAATAAAGTTAGGTACTCAAGATAGATTAAGCAAAATAAGATGGTAAAAGAACAGGGTAATCTGAGAATGCACACAAGTCTTTACGGAAATTTTTCCAGCAGAAATTCCTGTCACTTTCTGTTATTCTTGAGGTTCTTCTGCTGCCAGAGTGAGCGTTTCTGTGTGTGTGTGTGTGTGTGTGTACGTGTGCATGTGATTATGAGACTGTGGGTTTGTTCCAGTGGAAAGAGTCTACTGCAGCTCCATCCACTTTTTTCTATAAAACACAGAAGGATGCTAACATGAAGGTTCATTCACACACACACATACGTGGGCGCGCACATAATAGCTTAAATTGTCACACGTGATAAAGGCCCATACTGGAGTGGCTCTGCAACACTAATCACAATACACCCAGGCCAAAGTAAGTGTGGCAGATGGAGTGCTTTTCATGTATGTCCTACAAATTTCCTCCCATTAACACCTCAGTCCTGCTGAGCTATCGCTGTGTTGCCCTTACTTTCTGTTAATAATGCTGTTTTTCAACACACTTTGAATGGCAACGTCTATGAGAGCATATTGAATTTTTCTAACAATCTTCTCTTATGTCAGTTTACGACCTGTTGGTTTCTCCGGACTGCCTGCCAGACTTGCTTCAAGGAAGCCTAAAGAACAAAGGGCGGGATGAAGCATTCCTCCTCTTGTCCTTCAGGCTCCACAATAAGGCCCCCACCTCTCTGTTCAGTGTGGTCAACCCCAAAGACAACACCAAGTACATGGAGCTCAGTGTGCAAGCCAAGCTGAGCAAAGGTGTGCTGTAGTACCAACACACGCTGTCCTTAACGTCAAAAACACATGCCGCCTTTCCACTGGTTTTGACCGCTTCCATTTCAACCCCTCTGAATTTCTTTCTTGCTCCTCTCCGTTTCTAGTGACTCTTCGTTACCAGAAGCTGGACGGCAGATTCGGGACCACCAGTTTTAACCACATGGCCTTGGCCGATGGGCGGGAGCACCACGTCATGCTGCACGCCAGCGGCCTGCAGCGCGGCCCGCCTCGCCTCAACATCTACGTGGACTGCAGACTGGTTCACAGTTTGAACGATCTGCCGGCTGCATTTGGGTCACTCCCTCCTGGTTCCAACAAGGTGGCCCTGAGGACCCTGCAGTCAAACGGACAGGTGAAAAAGAAGTTAGAGATTTGAGGCAAAAGAGATAGAAAAAGAAAAATCACTTTACAGAATATGGTAACACCACTCGACTCATGCTTTAATTGTGTATTTCATGTTCTCTTGATTTTTTGCGTTTCTGTAAGGATGAACTGACAGACTTGAAGCTGGTTATAGAGGACACCATAGACAATGTGGCCACTCTGCAGGACTGCAACCTGGACCCGCCTGAGTCTCTGCACCTGCTGGGTGAGCAAGGCAACACATAACAAACATTTTCATTTAGTCCAGATGGATACACCGTGTTTTAGATTCCTTGGTTCTGATATGAGTAATCTGTTTAGGTTTCCAGGGAGGCAGGGTGGTGCAAGATCACGCCACCATGCTAGAACTGAAGACCATGTTGTCTGAGATGAGGGAGCTGCTCCTTAAGCAGGTGACATCCCACATGTAACTGTACATGGAGTAAATATCATTGTTATTATTATTATTATTATTAGTAGTAGTAGTAGTAGTAGAAGCAGTAGTATTAGTAGTAGTATTATGTTGTATTATATATTGTTAGGTGTAATGCAAGTGGAAATTTTCTGTTCTTATTGAAATTTTGTCTTTTCCTCTATTTATCTGCGATGAACTAAACATCCTCTGTTTCCTTTCGATTTAGATTAAAGAGACAAATTTTCTGAGAAATACCATCGCTGAGTGTCTGGCCTGTGGTAAGCATAACAGAGTCATACCTCTTTTCCCCAGTATTAAGTCACAAGACCATGGAAAGTTTTTTTACTTTGACTAATTCTACACTTGGGCCTATAGGACTTGGAGGCAGTCCCACCAACACAGGCCCTGTGCCAAGTCCTGGGCAGATTTTCTTGGAGCCTCATCATCTAAGTCAGTGTCCACCTGGAACCTGTTTCAGACAGAACATGTGTATCCGCTCAGAGTCAGGAGGCTTCCAGTGTGCTCCCTGTCCTGATGGATTCACGGGAGATGGAGTTCACTGTGATGATGTAGATGAGGTTTGGATTATGAATTTTAAAGTTTGTTGGAAATAGTAACTTATAAAAGCCACTCGGAATTTTATGGTCTTTTTCAGTATATTTTTGTCTTTTGACTTTGTATAGTGCCAGTTTAATCCTTGTTTCCCTGGTGTCCGCTGTGTGAACACTGCTCCTGGCTTCCGCTGTGAGAAATGCCCTTTCGGATACACTGGGCCAGAGATAAATGGAGTGGGAGTGTCTTACGCTAAGAGCCATAAACAGGTACAATGGCTAATGAAATATAAATGAGTCATTACATCTAATTAAATCGTGCCTTCTGACACTAGTATCTCTGCTTTTTTATTTTTGATTCCTTCCAGGTGTGCGAGGATTTAGATGAGTGTCTGGGCCCACCAGAGAACGGAGGTTGCACACCCAATTCACACTGCTACAACAGCATAGTAAGACCAGAGGACACAATGCATGGTTTTAATTGGGCTCTATAATCAAGGAGTGTGGTTTCTGAGTCTCTAATGTCCAAACTAGGGCTCCTTCCGCTGTGGAGAGTGTAAGGCTGGCTTCACAGGCGACCAGGTGAGAGGCTGCCATGGCACCAGGCTTTGCCCCAATGGTCAGCCCAACCCTTGTGACATAAATGGCGAGTGCATCGTGGAAAGAGATGGCAGCATTAGTTGTGTGGTAAGAATAACAGTTCTTATTGTACTGGTCTACAGTAAGGTGTGTGCACACTATTAAAACCCTTTTCTTTCCCCCCCTCTGTTTAAATGTTAGTGTGGCGTTGGTTGGGCTGGTAACGGTTATGTGTGTGGGAAAGACACAGATATTGACGCTTACCCCGACAATAAGCTCCAGTGCAGAGACAGCAAATGTATGAAGGTTTGTGACTCCCTTTCCTTTTTTCTTTTTCCTTTTCTTTCTGTTTGATGCTTTCACTGAAAATAGCCACCTGTGTGTGTTTCCCTGATATCTCCAGGACAACTGTGTGTTTGTGCCGAACTCCGGCCAGGAGGATGCAGACAGGGATGGGATTGGTGACGCCTGTGATGAGGATGCAGACAGCGACGGCATTGGTAACATAGATGTAGGTGTTTTGGCTCTCCGTAGATTTCATTGATGGTCTGTTACTCTTAAAAAGAGAAACGGATATGCACCGTTGTTACTTATAAACCCCTTTTTTCATCCCAGGATAACTGCTGGCTGGTTCCTAATGTCGACCAGAAGAACACCGACAAGGATCTACATGGAGACGCGTGTGACAACTGCAAGAGAGTGGACAACCCATCACAGAGGGACACAGACCAAGACGGTCTGGGAGACGACTGTGATGATGACATGGATGGGGACGGTAAGTGTGAATTTGACAACAGAGGACGAAGAATTGTTGCGTGATCACCTTTGTGAAGTCGTAGATTTCTTGGAGTAGAATATGTGACAAGTGATGATAAAAATGTGAAAACAAAGGGGCTGATTCTGTAAAGGTCATCCAAACCGCATCCTGTCTGACCGACTGCCGAGACTGGGGCCGTCCTGTTAGGGGCCTACATATGGGGCCTACATTGACCTACATATACACATATTGTTTCTTATGTATATATCTAGCTATATTTATGAGGAATTTTGTACATATGTACATATGTACATATGTATATACGTATATATGTATAGACATGTACATATGTATATGCCTATGTACATATGTATATGCCTTTGTTTTGCTTATGGAGCCTGTAACAAAAATAATTTCCCTCTGGGATTATTAAAGTATTTCTGATTCTGATTCTGATTCGGAAGCAGATGGGGACAGTTTTGTGGCTTTGACTGGCCCGGCAGTGCTTATCTGTGAATACTATCCTCTTGCTCCTTTTTTTGGCATCTGTTTGCAGTTTGCATCATCTGTCTGTTACATCACTGGGTTCAAAGTCTAACAATACCAGAATCATTAAAAAGAAAAGAAAGCAACTTTATTAAAATGCTAAATGGATTCTTAAATGTTGTGTTGAAAACCTTTCTCGCATACCTCACTGACTGGCCCTCTGCATGTGCCTTCATGTGTTGCGTGTTTGGTGGCCAGCATTTGTTCAGCTCCTGGCTCTTGATTGTTTGGTTACGTCTTTGACTCAAGGGTTAGATTGTTAAGCACTTGGTCATGTCTGTCTCCGCTCTTAAAGCATTTTTCCATGGTAAGTCTCCGCCAGACATACAAGGCCACTGGAAAGTATTTCACCTTTGTTTTAAAACAAACTCTGCCATCTGGCGATGGATTGGACTGCGCTGCAGGCTGCATTCTGTCACGTTATTTTTCCCGTCAACACTTTTACACACGATAGAGAAATGAGCCAGCTTTATGTCTGCTTTCAGGCTTGAAAAATTTCCTTGATAACTGCCAGCGTGTCCCCAATCCGGACCAGAGAGACAGAGACGGGGACGGGGTGGGGGATGCCTGTGACAGCTGTCCCGACATGGCCAACCCCAACCAGGTAACAGACCAGCGTCCGGCCGGGAAAAGAAGGCGCCGCTGGCATTCCTTTGACACGCCGGACTTGTTTTTCCTAGGCTGACTCGGATGATGACCTCGTAGGGGACACGTGCGATGACAACATAGACAGGTAAACGCTTCCTCATGGTCTGTGGTATGGATGTTTGTCCCTTTAAATTAGTTTTTTTCCCATTTGCTCTGCCTGCCTCACCTCTTCCTTATCAGTGATGGAGACGGCCACCAAAACACAAAGGACAACTGTCCCAGTGTCATCAACTCCTCTCAGCTGGACACCGACAAGGATGGAATGGTTTCTGCCTCTTTTTTTCTGACCATTAATGATTCAGCTTTTTGCTTTTCACTGCTGTTCACGCCACTTAACACTTTCTTCTTTTTCAGGGAGATGAATGTGATGAGGATGATGATAATGATGGCATTTTGGATGAAGATGACAACTGCAGATTGGTTCCCAACCCGGATCAAAAGGACTCTGACTGTTTGTATCTCATCCGACCTTTGTTTTCTGCGTGCATGTGTGTGTGCGTGTGACTACTTTGTATCTACTGAGCTGGATCACCACATTTCAGCGAACAAAGTTGGAGATGCTTGTGAAGGAGATTTTGACAAAGACAACGTGATCGACATCATCGACCACTGCCCAGAGAACGCTGAGGTCACCCTGACTGACTTCAGAGCCTATCAGACGGTGGTGCTGGACCCTGAGGGGGACTCACAAATTGACCCCAACTGGGTGGTGCTCAACCAGGTAAATGTGACAGATCAGCTTCCTTTTTTGAAGGTTCTTTTTCAAATGTTTTTGCGGTCTGTGGTTTTGTCATACAACCTTTGTGTCTAATCAGTATGTCAAATTAATTATCTTTGTTCTTGTAGGGAATGGAGATAGTACAGACTATGAACTCTGACCCTGGCCTAGCTGTAGGTGGGTGCATGATACCTTCATACATTCACACCACTGTTTACAGTTGTTGTATATTGCCCTTTTTCATCCATACGTCCTGGTCCTGTGTTTTCTTGTGCAGGCTATAAAGCGTTCAGTGGTGTTGACTTTGAGGGAACATTCCACGTGAACACAGTCACAGACGATGACTACGCAGGCTTTATATTTGGCTACCAGGACTCCTCGTCTTTCTATGTGGTGATGTGGAAACAGACAGAACAAACCTACTGGCAGGCCGCTCCCTTTAGAGCCGTTGCCGAACCAGGAATACAACTTAAGGTGCGTGGGAGATGTGTCTGCTGGCCCCCATCTGTTACCGCTTCAGCATTTTCCCTCCTCTGATACAATGTGACTCTTCATGAACAGGTGGTGAAGTCTAAGACAGGTCCTGGTGAGTACATGAGAAACTCCCTGTGGCACACAGGAAACACAACCGACCAGGTGGGTCTCCTGTGGAAAGACCCCAGAAATGTTGGCTGGAAGGACAAGGTTTCCTACCGCTGGTTCCTCCAGCACAGACCACAGGTTGGATACATCAGGTATGAACAGAAACATCACTGAACACAGTGGATGGACACAAATATAACATAAACCCCCTAATTTTAGCTCATGTACAAAACAGGGCTCGGTTTTACGAGGGTTCAAATCTCGTGGCGGACACGGGGGTGATAATTGACACCAGTATGAGAGGTGGGCGGCTGGGTGTGTTCTGCTTCTCTCAGGAAAATATAATCTGGTCCAATCTGAAGTATCGCTGCAACGGTGAGTGTCTGAAAACTAAAGAGAGGCCAGTTAACCGGTGCGATCTGTAAATGTGCTGATGAGATGTGTTTGCTCCTCCTTTGGGCAGACACCATCCCTGCTGATTACCAGGAGCTGCTGAGAGCAGAGTGAATCTGCAGAGGGGGAGTGATCCCAAAAAGAGGAACAGGCGATGAGCTGAGATGTGTGACTGGGGTAAAGAGGTCAGAATTCCAAAGAAGATGAGACTGGGAAGAACCATGATGGAGCATTATTGGTGTTTAGAATTGCTAAACAGTATACATTAGACTGCAATAAAAACATTTGAATAAACTATCAACATTTCCGAGTATGTAGTAAGTCAATAAGCCACAATGTTATGACCTCTCACGAGTCAATTGAGCTATACACAGATTTCACATTTCTGCCGACCAACCATGGCCACAGTCATGCAGTAGGACAACAGCTCTCTTTCTGAGCAAGTTTCCACAGTGAAAAACATTGTTTCCTGCAGAAGCTGTTTAGGAAAAGCTAAAAGACATGTCAAAGAGCCTGTATTGCTCTGATCTCTAACTCCCCAGACACCAATGTGATAGCATCTGGGGGACGAAAGCTCAAAATAGACCACACTCTGGATAAGACGGATGGTCATAATGTTATGGCTCATCAGTTTATATCTAAGCAATATCCCTAAAGTTAAAGATGAACCCTGATTTTTCTGTTTTTTAATATATTTTACATTAAAGTACAATCACATTTTGATTAGTATTTTGCAAACTTAATACATTTATCTCCTCTATTATATTTTTCTGTTTAAATGAATATTAAATCAACAAAGTCACTACGTGGTATTCAATGGATGTTTTATTGAAAGATTGTGATCAACATGTTACCTTCATCTTTGCATTTCAAACAATTAATTTGGTCAGATCATAACTCTGTTGGTCATGGTAGTCTGCAGGTTTTACAGTTGCTCCTGCTATTGTTTTTTTTCTCATTTCACATCAGCCGCTGAGCACCATTACATTTCTACATTCATATGGATAACCACAATGCAGATATTTCTAAAAGGATTAATTGGATGATAGATTTTGCTGGTATACAAAGCATACTGAAAATGTCCAAAGACTTCTGCACTGTAGCCAAAATGTACATATACATACATGTTTATTAGAAAACATGTTAGGAATATAATCAGACACAAAGGCTAAAGAGACATTTCAAATGAGTGAGAAACAGATAGAAATGTTTTAAGTTGGCAGTAAACTCAACATCCAGTGTTGAATAACTCTTTTATTAAAAGTCCTCTGCAACCATATTCTAACCACCACTTCTACATGTAACAGTGAGGAGGCAAGAAACCACTGTACAGAAAACAGTTTAATAGTGTGTGTGGGTGTGTGTATGCATGCAAATACATAATGTTCCCAGTTGATTTTTTTCTCTTTCACCAAACAATCTTAGAAGTTTCTGGTTTTCTGATGTCTACCTTTGGCAAATGAACCTTAATGGTGTCACTGCGGTTGGCCCTTCAGTAACATCGTTATCACATCAGGGAGGTCGATTTAAGAGCTGCCCTGCATGTATAAATGAGATGATTTTTCTATGAAATGATTTCGCTCAAAGGGAGCACTGACATTAATAAAACTTTATCTTCTTGATCCAACAAGACATTTAACACTGCGTTTCTAACATTGAGAAGAGCTTGTTCTGTTGCATAGAGAAATTCTACAAAATGTAACAAAGCATTGACATATACAGCGTAAACGTGTGCCTGAGAAGTGACTTTCTAAACAGAGTCAGGTTCAAATCCAAGTCAGTTCGCGCCACATTCCTTCTTTGAGTCCCTTAAATAAATACATTTTGTTTCTGTAACATCTCTTGAAGTAAATTTGTTCCAAAACGTGACAAATTTTATTTTTTGACTTTAGAGAACTGAAACACCCGGCTGAAAGTAAAAGCTAGAATCCCAAAAATATATATTAAAAAAACACACAACCATAAAGAAATACGTACAAAATACAAACACCTTTAAGTCTGAAATATTCAGAAAATCCACAGGGGCCGAATGTTGCCCGGTTGCTCGGCTCCAGTAATTTTTCATCAAATTTCAAACTTTTAAGTAATTCAAAACTCCAGGAGTCAGTGGTAGTAAAACATTTTTTTTTAAATTACCATCAAGGTATTAACAGCTTAACTTTGTAAAAGAAACATACTAGCATATAAAACAAAAGGCAACAGATAAGTCTCCATTTCAAACTCTGAGGCTAGTGAAGGATTGTGTTCCAAGATAAGGGGGGGGTTATGGGGATGGTCATCTTGGCCACATCCAACATGTCAGAGCAGCTTGACCCTTGTGTCATGATGTTGGGTCTAGGCCTCAAAGCGCTTTGGGCAGATCATCGGAGCGATGAGGGTCACCAAGTACAGGAAGAGGCAAACCCAGCAGGAAACCATCTTGATCCAGAATACTGACCAGCTCCCGTCCAACAGCTTTTCGATCTTATGGTCATCGTAACTGTAAGAGAGGTGCACGGTTAGCGAATGCAGCACAGGAGGGAATCGTTTCTCCATCAGGGCCATAACAAAAAGTACTCACTGAAACCAGTTGGTTATGGTCATCATGACATAAAGAGAGCCCAGGAAGAAGACGAAGTGGAAATAGGAGTAGCTGTAGATGGTTCCCTCTCTCTCGTCATACACCACGTTCTGACCCGAACCACTCTTCTCTTCATCGTAATCCTCTGAAAACACATATTAGATCATTCATAGAGAGTGGATCGTAAATGAGATATAAGATATTTATATGATGGAATGTTTTCTAAACAAAAAAAAATCATCTCCAGTAGGTGGCAGTGTGCTTCTACACAATTTTGCTCCATTCGGATCCAGCTTCACTGTGACATACTAATCTCCTAGTAACAGTGACATCATCTGTCTTTGCTGACCAATGCTTTCTCACTATGCTCAATCTAGCAGAGCAACAGCAATAACTACACCCCGGGAGGACAGAAGGTAAGGTGGTGAAAGGAAAAAGTACTCACCCGTGTCATCTCCAAAGCAGAAACAGCACCGAGCTCTCTGCCGGGTAAAGAAAAGATTCAGGTTACCTTTGAGCTGGAAACATTCTTTAGTACACACACAATTTATATATTAGTGGCCTTACGTATTTAAATTGATTGTGAAATCTAATAAAGAGCGCCTGGTCAGTGGTAATTCATGTCAATGTGCTTCACAACATTTAATTAACCCACATGCTCCGTGAGCTCTGAATATTTGTGTTTACCTCAGTCTCTGGCTCACTGTTCCTGTACACTCTAAGAGCCGCAGAGCTTCGCCTACTAGTGGAGGTCCAGCTGGGGGGAAGAAAAGAAAAAGACAACAAAGACAAGACTGATGAAGGACAGACATTTTGTTACTCTCTCTCTGATTTTTCCCAATAATTTGCAGTTTTAGATTGCTGCAGAGTCCAATTTCCTTCTTTCAGGGAACGGCCACAAGAGACAGGATGCCTCCACTTGATGGGAAACACATGTGAACAAAAGCAAAAAGCCACAATTCTTGTCTCCCACAGCCTCCATTCTGCCACAGCCAATCATGAGCTGCCTCCTCAGAATCACAGCCAATCCAAACTATGTTGTCTGTGTCTCTATGAAGTTCATGTGGATTTTGAAGCAAATGCTGCCGGGATAGGAGTTAAACATCTCCAGTTTATCATTTCAGTGAAAGAGCATACATAATAGAAATTCTGCCGGCAAAAGTTGTTGTTTACTGTAGCTGTGATGGTTATGGCTAAAGACTAACCCTAACACTAACAGCTGGTGTGAGGACATTTGGCTTATTTTCAGGAATTTAATCAAAGTTTCATTTTAGTTTTAGGCTCACAGCCTGTCATAGAGGCTGAGATCACAACCTCTGATTCAATAGTTGATCAAAGTGTGCCATTTTACAGTGTTTGTGTTTCCGAACCTTACCAAGAATAAAGGATGCAACCAAAAAGGATAATGGCTCCCAAAGCTGTGACAATCTTCTTGTCACTTTCCTTCCCAGAGTTGAAAGGAAACACGCATACGGTTTGGTTCAGGCCATCTACTATCACCACTGGGCAGAAAGAGAGAGAACACAGGAAGGAGAAGTGAGAATAGAACTGTAAGAACCACAAAGAACAGAGACATTTCAAAGGCATAACTACACAATTGGACTATTTTGTGTGTTTATTTTTGGCAAAGTCATTCTGAAAGAAGGAGCAATTTAGAGGAAATTGCTGATATCAAATGTTTAATTCATCTAAGGACATATATTTCAGCATAGAGTGTGACTTTGAAAACCACTGTGGAAAGAAAAATATACAGCTGCATCTACTTTTAAGAGGTTCTTTTTTAAATCACTTTTGAAAATAAAAAAGCATTATATTGTGTACGACTGGAGTATGTATAAACGGAAACACTGTCCCTTCCTATTTAAAAGTGTAAATGCAATGGGACATGCCTTGTAGCAGTTTGGCTGACTCCACCTTCTGCCTTTGTCACAGAGTTGGCATTTGGAGGTTTCCTTATTGCCGATAAGTAAATCTGACTAAATCACCCCAATGGAGACTCAGTTAGTAGTTTCACAGACTTAAACAAACCAGGGCGGAACAGGACTTCACTCCCTGCTATGATTTTTCTGTTGGTCATACATGAGATGCTGCATATTCAAATACGCAGTTCCCCATCGCTTAGAGCTAAACTCACTGTATATTTCATCTCCACTTAAAAGCCCAGTTTTATGTATTTAACTACTGTCTTCATGGTTAAGAGTTAACATTTTCAGGTCTGTTTGAACTAAATTGGTTTTACCCAAATGCACACAGATCTAAATGCTGAATTTTAAGAGGGTTGACCTTCAGGTTTGTGTTTCTCACTTACACAGCCCTTGTTGTTTATTGTCTTATGCCAAATTTAGCCATTTCAAAAGGTACTTCTCTCATTTATAGTGTGTGCGTGGGGAGCTATTCTGACATAGTTGAATGTTGCCAACCATCGGCTTAAATGCTTAAAGCTAATGGCTGTGACTATGGGAACATGTATATATTCTTACTTTCTTTGGGTTTGCTGGAAAATGCTGAAAAGGTGAGGTACATGACGTACACACTGATGACTCCTGGCTGCAACAGGCCTGATTTGGGTTGTACTGCAGGGACAAAAAAACAGTCAACATAGATTTCTGTAATGGAATTGTCTCTTCTTAACAACATTTCTGGGTTTTTATTTGGAAAACATGTGCTAAATACATTTTCTGAGTCTTATCTTTTCCACTATGAATAGAAGTAATATCATGATCATATACAGTCAAAATCAGATAATGTGCTTGTGCTCTGAGCCCTTACGTTTCTGTATGAAAGGGGAGATGGCCAGCAAAGAGACAATGAGGCAGAGGCCGCCGTTGATGCCGAGGAAAATCTTGTTAAGCAAACAGGCCTCAGGGTGAGTGTAGTACACACCCATGAAAACCACAGCTCCCACTGCAATACTGAACAGAACCAGAGCTGCAAGGGACAAAGCTGCGTACCACAGACGATTATACTCCACACCTGAACTCCTGCGGGCAGAAAAGAGAGGGAGAGGAAAAAAATTAACGGGAGAAAGGAAAAAAAAAACAACACGAACAAGGGAAAAGCAAATTACACAAGTAAGTAAAGTAAAGCAAACAGGATAAAAAACTCGAACAGAACTGACTCAGAAAAGTTTGACCTGAGGAATGTGAAAAAATGTTTGGGAAAAAAAGAAAAAAAGAGAGGGAAGGGAGAAGTGATGCTTGGTGAATTATAGTTTTCCCCTGAGGAAAAAAAAGACAGGTTTACTGCTGAAGTGCTTTTACATCCATTCGACCGGAAATTTAAGATTTATATTTAATGCAGTTGTTCTCAGTGCACAGGCCGACACACACAGAGAGGTTCACATTTACCACATTGGTTACCAAACCTTTAAATATCACAGAAGCTGCCTACTTAAATATATGTGTGTATGTAAGAGGGAACCACAGCCCCAGAATATACAAGACAGCACAGTTTACAAAAGAGTACACCTCTCCTTCTGAGTCTGTGACTCTGTGGAACTAAGAAAAAGGCCTTGTGCTGATCTCATGTAAATGACAAGCCCACGGGGACCCAACAATCTCCTGGAACAAAGATTAGCAATTAGAAGGCATGTAGCTCTCACCAGTTTGTGTTCCATCTATGTGCAAACTCCACCAGCAACATGAGCTGGATTAGCAGGAAAAAGAATCCACCCACAGCACCTATGTAACGCCAAACTATGGCGTCGATTGGAAGAGACAAAGCAAATGTTCCAAGTTAAAAGAGATGGTAATGAAAAGTGTGTTCTAGACAGGTTTACTTTTCAACAATTCCAAGCCCGGCTGCCTATCTTTGGAGCAGACAGACTATTGCTAACTGGCTTTTAATCATCTGCGTATATGGAGGATACAATATGACCAAATGTTTAGCTTGTAGCATTTAAGTCGGTCTGTGGGCCATCAGTTAATAGCTAAAGCCAGAAACGATTACAGGATATAAAAGACAGCCACCAGTAAAAAGGATTCAGATGGCAACATTTTATAAATACAGAAACAATGGCTGGGAAAGTACATTCTGTGCAGCCTCTGAAACAGAAGAGGATTTGGCTGACAACTGGCAGGAATGTCAAGGTCTTTTTAAATCTTTTACCGTGTAACATTGAAACAGATTTGAGAGAGTATGAAAGACGACAGCACCGTTTAAAGTTTAGAGTACTGTTACTGAGGAGGAAGATCTCTTGCTTGTACCTTCCAGAAAGATTTCCTCTTTTGGAATGAAGAAGGCTGCAGCACAGCATCCTGCCAGAACAATAAACTTAAGCAGCCAGAATCTGCCAATGGGAAAAGGGGAGTAGAGAAAAAAGGCAGAAGTGTTAAAACCATGAAAGAAAAGTCTAAACATGAATAATTTCAATACTGTTAAACCCCATTCATTTACAGATGCCACTTGATATGTGCATCAGTTCTCTGCAGTGTTTGAATTCCTTTTGTTTGATCTTTTACACAAAAGAACCAATCATTAAGAATTAGCGCTAGATCCAACAGATTATTGGAAACTGTGCAACTGACGAGACCAAAAACACAATAGACTTCTCTCTACCCGTTATGAATGGCCGCCCTGCAGCCTGTGCTGTCGTTGATTCTAAGTGTGATGACGAAGAAGATTAAAAAGAAGCAAGCCATTCCAAAGCACATCTTGTAGACAGCAGAGTATCCGACCAGAGTTTTGCAGTTTTCCCCTGCGTTCATCTTCTCACACAGTTCGCTGTAGAAGGGGATCTGAGACAACACCATAAACAAAAAAAACAAAAAAATGGCATTAGGTCATTGTGGTGAAACTCACCTCAGCTCATGTTTGCATAGTGCGGGGCCTCAGTGAAAAGGGCCAATAGTGTCTATTCTCTGGGTCACGCCTCTAAGGGAGCATAAAGCCAGAACAGGCAGCAACAACAAACGCTCTTTCTATCCATGGTGCCCTCTTTCATCCGCAGTTCTCTACAGCCTGTTAGTGGGGCTTTACAACCCACTGTCAGTGTACACAACCAAAGGACACAGATGAATAAATTACCCGACTTTTGTCAGCAAGTCAGAGAGAACCTCAGGGGCAAAAAGAGAAAGCAGTAACAACAGAGAAAGCTTGGCAAGTTCCTTTTAGTGTCAAATTTAAAAAAAAGATTCACGTAAAAAAAAAAGAAACAAAGATGAGACGGACTGGAGTGAATTGACACATGAGTACAGGAATAAGGGCCTTGCTGTGGCCTTCAGAAGATAGTTAATGGCCAAGTAGAGACTTGCCATTTGAATCTGATAACCACAGTGGAAGATAAAATTGTCCCCAACTACAGCGATATGAGGGAATGTTACAAACTAAATAACTTTGTAAGATAACTACACATTTCTGCCTGGGTTTCCTGAACTTTGAAGTTGTGCAAGGGTGAAACGTCAGCAGATTGAGTTGTCATTACCTCCCTGTGTAGCACATTTCAGAGCCAGATGACAACATAAAGCAAAAAGCCCATTTTGGAGCTTTTGTCTCATGTTGAGGAGCATATTAGCATGTCCATGGTGTTGTGATTAAGAGGAAGAGGGGCTGGCTGATTCGAACTGCTGTAAATCTCTTGAGAAAAGGCCAGCCCTCTCATGCTCACAATGGCTGCTCTCTTAGCTGGGACTTCCCACTGAGCTCGGTGTGCCACTGACAGTGTGTGCACGTCCGTGAATGTGTGCGCAGCTCGGCAGGCTTTGTGTGGGGCTATCAGAGGACATTTTGTGCCTGGATGGGTCTTTACAGGGTCCTCATCTCACAAGGAGACGCGCAGTGGGGAGTCGTTTGAATATCGTACACCACACAGCAGAAGACAAAGGCGGCTAAACAGCAGAGGATGATTGGTGGACAAATATTGCCGCCAAATTGCTTTTGAGATCAGGAAGCTTTGTCATAGCCTGACATTTAAAAGCATAATTATTTCCTGTTGGCTCCAGGGTTAAGGGTTTGTCCAATGCATACACTACACGGCGGCCTGAAAGGGGTACATCTCTACCCCTTCCTCGGGCATAAAGTTCTCACCCTGTCATGTCTGAGTTGTTTTCTGAAGTCTATCAGATGTAGCAAACAGATAAGTCTTTAACTTTTTGTATTAACTTATGAAACTACCACATTATTAAAAGTTGGATTTGTTTCTTGGGAAAAGGGAAGTAGTGGGGTTAGGTTTCCATTTCCTCCCAGTCTGAGCCACTCTCTCTCTTAGTCTGTTTGGGCTGTGCACAGAGCAGAGAGAAGGCAGGCCGGGCACTATCTAGTTGATGTTATCCAGTTTGTGCTTACTTAGGCCGTGTCATTTGTATAGTTTTTTGGGAAACTGTAGAGTGTGTGTTTATGGTTGTATGGGGACATGATGATTTTTTCATTGGGGTGTGAACTGCAGAGCGATATGTACTCACATTAACTCTCATCTCCTGCTCCACGGTGGGGGACATCATGATGACACAGATGACGGTGACCAGGAGAAAATAGAGGGCGTACATAATTCTGGTTCCAGTGGACTGTTTAATCTTTGGGCAGCAGTTACAGCAGCATGAGCACGCCGCCGAGCCGCAGCAGCAGGCCAGCTGCACACAAAAACAACGGAAAACGGACAAGGAAGAAAAGGGCAGACTCAGTTATTCCTGTTCAAAAGCTTTCCACACCACACCATAGCGACTTCTGACATTTAACAAGTTCACAAATACATAGAACACATCGGAAAAAAATCCTCAAGGTAACATCAAATTGTTTTCAACTCTTAAATCCGGACAAGAATCTAGATTAGTATTATGAACTTTAGTTTATAGCCCCACAGACTCTAATTAAAACATAGAGAGTCATAGAGAAAAAGACCTGAAACAGATTTTTCAAATATAATGGGACAAATGGAAAAAACATTATTAAAAAATCAGTGCATTAGGGATTTCAAAAGACTGAAGCTACTCAAAGGTGATGTTTGCATGTTTGAAAAAAAACCCTTAACTGTATCAATCGTGTTTACTGCTGGGTTTCTGTCACGTGGCGCGCCTGGTGAGCTTCAGCCTTTAAGGATGAAGCATTTTACAGCCTGTGGTCCCTTTGAAAAGTACAGCCGATTTCTTTATCAAAGGTTACCCATTTTAACAAACTGTTGTGTGTGGCTCTTATTACTCTCTAATACTTTTTAAAAACCTTTCCAGATATACAACTCTCATATTCTCAAAGCTTTGACTACTACATCAGAAGATAAGTCACAGCAACTTATTGACCAATGAAAAACACTCATTCATACTTTTGATCATGAGGGAAAAATCCAAGGCAACCACTGGTCCCAACACACAGTGTAATCTATTGTCTCGAAGCACAAACGCACAAAGACACACACATAGAGGCCCACATCGTTTCCTCTGTCAGGGAGTCTTATAGGAAGATTACAGATACATAAAGAGGGCCCTGTATTCTATTTTGGAAAAAAAGGAGCCTCTATAATTATTTGCAAGGCCATTTCTGTGGCCACCACACCCTGCTGGTGTAAAGTGCCCACTTGTCATGCTGCAGACACACACTGTTGTGGTGAGAGCTAAAAGTGTGTTGTTGAGGTTTGGCTGGGTTGGCGTTAGCATGAGAGGGTTTGGACTCACCTTTCATGGTGGTGTATTTACATAATAATAATGATCATTATTATCGGTGGCTTCACATGAATTTCGAAAGGCTTTTTTTTTTAATATGACATGCCAAGGTTAGTCTGGAAAGAGCTGAGCTACTGGGGAGTCTCTGGGTTCTGTCATTATGCTATTATTTGAAAAGCAGAAAATTGTAGGCACAACAACTCCATGAATAAGACAATTACTTCATGTTATCTTTTTCTCTGGGCTATTTATCATTTCTGTTTGATAAACTAATTATACAGTTGTGTTTTGTTGTAAGCCAGGGGTTGAATTTCCCAAATTTTCTGATGTGGACTAGATTATTTTTGATCATGTCCTAAGATGCTAAACCCAAGAAATGAAAGAGGAGCAACATTGTAATTTACATCACTAACGTTTTTCAATATTCAACAAGTTAAAGTTCATTACTTTTGCTATATAATTACATTTTCCCACATTCAAACACAGCGTGCCTTATAGGGTATGAATTGGTCATCTTCTTAGTGAAGCTGGAGCAGAACGACTGACCTCACTGTGGGTGGAAACATCAGTGTATTACTCAGCCAGAGTATAACAACATCTGGTGTGATGGGTTGTGTACTAGATGCTGCTGGCCAGTAACAAGCTGCAAGAAGCCAAAAAGTAACTATTATGGCTTTTAACTAAACTGTGTCCTTTTACACTTAGTACACTCTGGTCGAGGGCAGCAAATACAAAGACTTCAGGATAGATCATTTTCACGCATCAACGCAGATTTTATGGCAAGCTTCCGGACAATATGGTCTGGTAGTTAGTCTTCACCAAAAAGCACTGGGATGGAGATGCACTCACCCAGGGGGAAATGGAGGGAAGTGGTGAGGGGGGTCTGGCTGTCTAAAGCAATCAGGAGGCAACATATGACTGAGAAATTATGTTGTCAAAGAGCTTGATTTTCTATTTAGCGCATATAGGATAGGAGATGAGGCTCCACTATGTTTCATGCATGGTGCATGTGTAACAGCAGCCATATGAAAATTATAGCATATTACGAATCTCTTGCATGTTTTTAATTCCAAGCTGACATCAAGCTCACACATGCACATGCAGTTTATCAATGACAGAGATAACACCAAACATATGCACTGAAAAAGGAAAAGGAATAATCACTTATTTCACGCATTCACAGGCTTAAGACCTTAATCTTCTGCATGTGCCTCCCAGTTCCCATTTGACTACACAGCTGAAATGAATAAGCTTTTTTCTTTTGTATCTGCTGCACTCACATGTCTCACCCAATGGGAGATTAATTAACCACAACAAGCTGCACGAAAGTAGGACAGGAACAGAACAATTTAAATTGTGAGTGTGTTTAGATTTCATTAGTTAGGGGGTGTTTCACCAGCGGACTGCACACAGTAAGGGGGTCTGACAGCAAACTCTGAGGCTGAACAGACAGAGACGAGGTGTGGGAAGTGTGTGTGAGTGTGTGTGTTTGGGGAGGGGGGTCTTTAGCAATTCCATTGGCACAGATGGATACTGAAAGAGTATCCATGGTAACCCTAACTGAACTTAACGGGCCTTCCAGCCGCCCGCCTGCCTGCCCCACCAGCAGCAGGACAGGTGGTTGGTGTGTCCACACTTCACAGCAGCCTCTGGATAGCCCGTTACACTTTACTTGTTATCTATCTGAAGAGCATTCTTCCACTGTTGGCTTACGTCTTGAGTTCAACCCAAAATCCTTTATCAAAAGCACTACAGACTTGACTGTGGAATTCCAAAAACTAATACCTCCAACTCGTTTCACTTTTAAGTGTAAAGTTCAGTTACTTAGAGGATTGCCGATGTCATGTTTAGCCCTCTTCGCTCTTTTTTGATTATCAAGAGTTGCCCATGGCCATTTTTCAACATATCCATCATGCTTAACAACATTAAAGCTGTTTAAAGAGGTAAGAAGAAATTTGATGTCACCAAAAAAAAGATAAGGGCACTGAGATAGAGGGATCAAAATAAGCCCTTAGAGATGAGAAGATTCTGCAAATATCCACCTATCTATCTATCTATCTATCTATCTATCTATCTATCTATCTATCTATCTATCTATCTATCT